GCTTAAGTTCAGTAATACTCATAGGCTATTCAAATCCTAATCAGCTACTTATTAAGAATGACTGTCATCTGCCTTGATGTTGCCTAGTTGTCTAGCTATTTTTAGAATAGTGGTATTTCTGTAACTTAAGTAAAGTCTGTTAATCCTATAAACAAGCTAGATGCATAGCTGTGGTCTAAAGACCTTGCCCAGACATCAAATGTAATGTCTGAATTGCAGGAGAGTCCTACACAGTTAAACATCCCAATTATTTGAAATACTTCTTGCCTGGCAAAAGTGAGTGTAAATGCATTTTCACTGGCCTAAATGTATTTTTGCTTGGTGGAATTTTATTTTGTATTGAAATGTTGCACACAATAGTATCAAAAAAGCTGGAAGCTTGCTGGTGTAGCTGTGGACAAAGACTGAGGAGGTAGAAACTATTCCAAAGTGTGCAGTGAGGAATTTGAGGGTAGGAGCAATAAAAGACCACTTGAAGGCAGGAGTCTGGCAAAATTAAGACTCAAAAAAACCTCCAGTGTTTTCTGTAGTGTAACTTTAGCTTTCTAGTTTAGGTATTTAGGCCCCCATTCTTGAGAAGCAGAGAAAAAATTCTCTTAAACCTTTTCTATTCTTAGGGAAACAGATACTGCCCATCAAAATCAGTTAAAAGATAGATTACTATACAATGACATTTTTTGTCTTGCAAGACACTAATCATATTTGTTATGAGTCAAAATTGTTTTCAGTTTCTGGTACTACACTTGTATTTAATACATTAGAGCCTTATATGCTTTTAGCACACAGACTTCTTCTGAAGCCTTTGTTCTGTGTTTACAAATAGTTTATAAAGCTTTGGTGTCTCATTTCTTCGTTCATGGTACGCATCTGTTCTTTGCTCTGACTCTAGTTTTATTTAAAGTATACTTCCAGTGCTATTGAAAAGCTTAAAAAAAAAAAAAAAAAAAAAAAAAAAAAAAGCGGGGAGGGGGGGCGGGAAGGAGATTCCCTCCCAGTAAAAATAGGTACTGAAGCTAGTGTTCCTTAGGGATGAAGTATGGTGTAACATCTTGGTGATCTGATCCGATAGTCACCTGGACAAAAACGGTGTTGTTATGGCCCCAGTTGCAGCAACAGCTGTTTCTGTGGGAATTGGTTGCTCTTGTTCAATGAGTGGTCTCATTCCAGTTAAGGGTGTGTGCAGGTGCTGTGGTCAATTGGGTCAGTCCTGATACTGACTGGGGGGTGATTTTATGTTTATCTGTACTGACAGTACTATACATACATTACACCTGCTGTATCTTCATACCTGACACTCCTCTTCGCATTTTTAAGAGTGCTGTTTATCTTGTTCTGGACTCTGTTATTGCTACAGTTACAACTTGTAGGTATTTAAAATATTAACTGTAGAGCTTTATCCAGCAAGTAGGTTTTAGTACTAAGGCAAAGTAGTAAATTTTTTTCTAAATTAAAAAAATGTGGCTTTTAATCCATGGAATAAATAGTTGCGCCTGGAAAACAGGTGGCAGGGAAAAGTTATGTTTTCAGCCCTGTCTGATGTGAATACAGTAGCACAGACATCACTTGTCATATGCAGGTACTGAACACCCAAAGCTTGTGGTGCCAAGAAGCAGTAAATTGTCTGGAACCATTTTTAATGTATTTGGCTCCTTATTGGTGGCAACAGCTTCAGAAAACATTTGGAAATCTTAAGTCAGCTGTTTTAATTACTGCTGTGTATTGATGCACAAAGACCTTACATGGTCATTTCATTCCCACTCAGATAGAAATCCTGAAAACAATTTTTCAAATACTATCTAGGTTGGGGCTTTTCCACAAAATAGTTGGGATTAACCAGAAAGCTCAAACTGAAGGTAAATGCTGATTCCATGAGTGACAGGTTTTCTCTATTTAGCAGACAGTCATTTGAGGTCAAATGCAGCCTGATCTGCACTGGGCTTGCAAGAAGTTTGGGAGAAGCTTGCCTTTTGATTATTTTCTGGTAGATCTGTCTGTGGTATACTGTTTAAAAACAGAAACAAGTTCTTTACTGCTAAAATAAATAATGTAGCCATGTAAAAAAAAAAAAAAGGCAGCTTCTCTAGCTCATTTGTATTAATGATTGGTCAAATGAGAATATTTAGGGTTGAGCTCAGAAAAAGAGTTGTTATAATGAGGTGATTTGATTAGCATATATAGTCTTTCACTTGGAACTATTGAACACTAAGCGTTCTTTAATCTCGGGGGGTGGGGCGGGGGGGGGGGGCATGGGGAAAGGTAGAACAAGAACCAGTGAACCTATCTGTCAGAAATAAGGCACAAATCTGGGAGGCTGAAACTGATGAACCTTTAGAGCAGACAATTGTTCACTTTTCTATGTTTTCCAGAGGAACCGCAATGCAAACAAGCTAATTGATTAGAGGTGTATTTAGTAAATTTAAGGGTCTATAATATACAGAAAATCAGATTGTATGATCTAATTTGCCTCTCTGAATTTTTAATCAGTTCCTGAAGTGATTTGTTTGTTGATTCAGTATTATTTGAGTACTTGTTGATTTTCCTGCAGATCATACATAATTTCAATGTACTTTCAACTCCTGCAAAGCCAGTTCAAAGAACTGAGAATCTATTACTTGCAAGTAACTCTTCTCATGCAGAGTTTTGATGTGGATGTCACATCTAAACTGTGTTTCCTTGAAGGAAAGAAAGTCTCAAAGGAAGAGTTCTGTTAATTTAAAACCAAGTTGCTTCATATCCATTACCAACCACTGTGTTATTAAGAAGTCGTCAAGTAAGGAGAGGGTACTTAAGACCAATTTTGAAAGATTTCGCATCATATTTTAGAATCGCTGCTGGCACCAGTGGATTCTTTTTTGCTCTGTGGATTCTTCTTTGCTTTTGTTTTTAAAGTGATTAATTGAGCTTTTTTTCCTCTAAAAAGAACAAAGAAAGGTTAAATGTAGAAATACAGGATTTTTTGCTGAAGCTGTCAGTATGAACAAAAAAGAGGAGTCCAAGATGAGAAAGGGAAAAAGTTGTATTTTCACCCGTGGCTAAACAAGTAGTATTATGGAATGGTGGTAATCTTGTTTGGTACTAATAGGATGCTAGGCTTGATTTCAGGTATTTTTTTATACTTGTAACCAAATCTGTATTAAAATATAATATTTACAAATATATGAAAATCAACCTCAAAGTGGTAGTGATCTGAATTTGTGTGTTTTCCTGTCTGCCTCTAAAGAGCACTTGGAGCATACATAGTGTGCTAGAATCTGCTTCTGAGAATTTCTGCCTGCGACATCCATTTCAAGTATCATTCACAGCTTAAACACATTAGAACCACATGGCTAACTGTCAACATAAAAAAGAAAAGAAAAATTGCCCTTAAGACTATTTTGTTGTTTGTTTGTTTGTTTTTACTTTGCTCCATTGTGAAAAGGCTGAAGCAGCAGATTTTTGGAGCTTCTGTAGATGCTGTGCACATACCATATTTTTGTGAGTATGGTTTTTCAATTTAAAAAAAAATGAAGTATATCTGTTTCTCAGAACTCAAAATGCTGCATTTTTCTTGACTTTCGTGAAACTTGGCAGTGAATTCTGTGTTTCTTCAGTGTTTCTGTATCCCCAGCTGAATGTGCTCAGAACTTCCCAGTGGTAAAGAATATAGGTTTTTTTTAATTGTTGGAACAAAAGGAGTATCCAGGTATAGCTTAAACAGTTTCAATTGAATACAACAAACTGACAAACTGAAGTTGTGTCATCTGGCATTTCTTTAGTAGTGAAGTGATTTCAATTATTGAGATGATGGAAAAGGCAGATACTTTGTGTTGCGGCTGTGTTTTCTCCTGCCATTGGGAATATATTTACGTTTGTATACCCTAGGATGTATGTATCTGTCTAGCACAATGAATTAGATTAATTAATTAACCAGAAGAGGATTTAGAATTTTTTTTTTGAGAACATTTCATCCCGTCACAGAAGAAAAAAACACTATTACACTGCAAAAGGGCAGAGGGCTCAATAACTGGGGAAAGAGAAATAGGCATCACCTGCAAAATCATATTCTTGTTTCTAATACTTGGCAATTTGGGTGGTAGTTGGGGATTTTTTGTTTGTTTTAACTGAACCTGTATTTTATGTTTTGACAGTAATTTTGCATTGTGGCACTTTATGCTTCTGAACACCAGATGGTGCTACTAAACTATACAATGTGTAATTTTCACACTTCGAGTAGTTGATACTTGATTTAGTTCCAAAGTCAGTTCTGTACTTTCCAACCAGGATGTATTCCAGGATGCAGAACTGTACCTGATAGCTCAGCACAACACATTCTGCTGTTTAAGGATAATGGTCTGAAAATTATAATGTAAACTGAAGTATGTTGTAGAATCAATATTTTAGATCTCACTGGGCAAAAACTGCCATCAGCTGGTGTTCCTTCTGAGTGTATAGCCTAGTAACAAAATTTATATACTTGATACTTCAGAGATTAGATTTATTAAAGTGTCATTTAAATTTTATTTGTTAGCTTCAATCAGAAAACTTCTGGTGCAAGCACCTTTATTGTCAGGTTAAAACTGAAAAGCATAGTTGTAGAGACTAATTAAATATAATGAAGTGATGATGAGGATTGGTTTGAGTTTGGGGGTTTTTCTTACACATAGTCTGTGTTAAGCTTGAGTAAGGCTGTCAAAGCTTTTAGTTGTCTTCTGTTAATATTTGTTGGAGAAGACATGATGGTTTAGCTGTGTAATTGCATTGCAGACGTAGTAGTGTGATGTATGTTTGGCGTTTTGATTTCTATTTAAGTTGGTTATGTTTAAGAAACTCATCTGGTAATCCTAATCATGGGGCTCAAGGGAGGGAACAAGACATTTGGATTTTAGCTGAATCCCAAAGGTTAGTGGTACAGTTTGTCGCTGAACTAGAAATAATGGATTCAAATTTATTAAGGAGTGAGGAAATTTTTGATAAATATTTTACTGTCTTTTTCTTACAAGTCTTTTTTTTTTTTTTAATAGATCCTCATATTAAAGTGTCTGGAAAAAAGGAAAATGTTAAAGAAGCGAAAGAGAAAATCATGTCTGTCTTGGACACAAAAGTAAGAAAGAGTTTATTTAGAATGACAACTTTAACCCCTAATTTTGTGGTGACATTGATCTCCTTAAATGAGCTCATTTAAACAGAAGGTTATTTATGGATGCTCTGAAGCAAAGTCACCAATATATTCCTTCTGGATGTTGATACTCAGTGTATACACACATATTTAAACATGCTACAATAAAATACTTGCTTATAGTTCAGATTTCCAGATCTGAACTATATTAGAAATATTATTTCTAGCTATATGGCTAAAAGCATACATACTTTGTTAATTGGCTTGGGTTTTTTGCTTTGACGTACGAATACAGCTTGGACAGTAAATCTGAAATACAGCTTCACTGCAAACGGTAAATGATGCAGCCACTCTAGTGAACTTAAAATTTTGTTTTGGTTTGAAATTCAATTTTAAGAGCACATATGCAGTTCTATTTTTAACTGTTACTGCATTCTTACACTCTGAGACATTAGGACTAGAATTTCTAAAACATCTAGACTTTGGCCAGGGGTCTCAGGTTCATCAGATTTTCTTTTCAACCAATAGCAAGTCTTTTGTGGAAGTGTGTATAGTTTCTCTGTAGTTGTACACCAACTTTTTGACACTCTAAACAGATTGCCAAAAGGAGCACTCAAGTGCTAAGCACCTTTTTTAACATCTATTAACAATGATATTATGGACTGTTAACAATATAGCTTTAAAGAACAGCTGTAGGCAATGTTTGTATAATTGAAAAATTGAGGTACCAGAAAAAATTGCTATGTTTGTTAAAGGACGGAAAAAACCCTGTTATTTTATGTCCAATGGCTTTGATTTGCCAAAGTCTTGATCATGTGATCTTTTCAGATCAGACAGGGGTGTGTGACTGCAATTGAAAGAACACAGAATTAAATTAGAATGGATTGCAAAAGGACATTTAATTTTAAATTGATAAAAGCTAGGAAATGTTTTAAAAGCCTTAAACATTTTTTGAAGACATATCTTTGGGGTTTTTATTTCCATGTTTTTTCCTTATTGGAAAGAAAATCTGAAGGTTTAGCATCTGACTATGACCCATATGAAAAATAGCTTACTTGAGTAGAAGTTAAGCCACAGCAAAAATGCTTTGGAAATACCATTTTGAATGCCATTCTTAAAGTTACATTACTGTCAAATACCCAGGTTCTGTTGTGAACAAATCATGTTTGCTTGATTTTCAGAGCAATCGAGTAACATTGAAGATGGATGTTTCACATACAGAACATTCTCATGTGATAGGTAAAGGTGGCAATAACATTAAAAAGGTGATGGAGGAAACAGGGTGCCATATCCATTTTCCAGACTCGAATAGGAATAATCAAGCAGAGAAAAGCAACCAAGTAAGTATTGTTTAATATTTAACTCGTACTGTAATTCCTGAGACTATAAAACATTTCTAAACTTCTTTGGTCAATTTAGATTATTTGGGGACAGTGAGTTCTTGTTCAGGGAAATGGATCTTTGGTGTTTACACTTTGTGGAAATCACAAGACTTCCCAAGTGAGCAAATCTTTAAAAACAGATGGAAATAATCTGTGATGGCTCATGAATCACTTCAAATTTATTTTTTCTTTAAACTAAAATTATTTTGAGCATAAAGAAGTCACAACTTAGATTGAATGGTAGAGAAGCAGTATGAAAAGCACTGCTTTTGTAAATTTTTTTTCCTGTTCAACACATGACTTATTTAGCATATTGATTAATTTCTTGGAGCTTTAGGCTTATGGTATAATTTAGTTGAAAACTAAACTTGGTGAATAGCTAGCAAAAATGACTGTTCTATTGTAAGAGTTCAACTTTATTAGAATAAGTCATTGAACCAGAGTTGTACATCTTTTGCAATGCTAATACTACTGAAACTTTCAAGTCTGTTATCACTGTATTTAGAATTCCCTTTTGTGCTTTCTAGTTGCTGCTGAGCAAAATACAGTAATTTCAAAATGTTCAAGAAAACCTACTGTTGTTGAACATTAGCATTGAGCACATGCGTACAGTAGTAATTCCATTATTTGATCCAAAAACTGATGTTTGGATCAATTATTTTCCAGTTGCTTAAGCCTGTGTAACCTGAGATGCTATAATATTCATAGACTTTTTTTAAAAACTGGTTTTGGTTTTCAGCTATTATTTAGAGAACACTTAGGATGTCACAAGATGTGAAATAAGTGGTGGTGTTCTAATATTTTTATTTTTTTTTTTTAGAAAGAGAGAACACAAGTATCTGAATAACTTTTCCAATGTCTTATTTGAAAATGTGATGCTGTGTTTTCTATATTCTTGCTCTTCCAGGTGTCTATTGCAGGACAGCCAGCTGGAGTGGAGTCTGCAAGAGTTAGAATTCGGGTAATTGTCTATTTCAGTATAATGTTCCCTTGAAAACACCTGAAAAGAAGAAAAAAATATAGTTTTTGAACCCTAGGGTTGTCTGGTGCTATCTTATGACAGCAGAAATATAGGAACAAATGAGAGTATCCATATGAGTAAAATGCAAAGGGTGTTTTAAAAACAGTGATTCACTTTCTGGGTAAATTCTTAACTAGCCCAAGAAGGACCTTGAACGCAATGTCTACAGAATAAGCAAGATGTAAGGTATCCCATACTGTGTTTAAATCTACATCTTAACTTACCCTCCACAGATGGCCTGTAGAAGCTGAGGGATCCTGTGTGAATCTGTGACTTAAGAAAGTCACATTTCAATTTTAAGCATTTTAATGCATTATTTGTGTAACTAATTTGGTGGAATTTGGTTCCGTTCTCCATTCATAGCACTCATCTATCTTTACCTTCTAGTTTTCACTTGTTATGTGTATACTGGCATGGATAATTATAAGTCTAATAAATCATGAGAACTTTTTTGCAATTATTGTAGTCAGCTACATTACTTACACAACATTGTCTTGAAAATCATGAAAGAAGCTGTGCTGACTTAGCTTTGTGGCTGACTTCAGAACTCAAATTAATCCAGAAAACAGACTTCTCTAGGAAGTTTTACAAATACTGGCCTGTTTGTAGGTCTGCATGGATAAGTACGGAAAATTACCTGGCTTTATTGTTGCTACATAAACAAAAACTCTGGTATCCTTGGAAAAATAGATGCCTTTTTCCAACTCAGGATATATTTTTTTAACCAATGACCCCTGGGCAGAAGATGTGTTATGTATGATTAATCATCACTAACCAGTACTTTATGATTCAGTAATAAAATTGTAGTTTTAGTGAGTACAATATCCATTTTCAATATTTGCTCTTCAATGTCGTTGTAGGAGCTGCTTCCATTAGTACTCATGTTTGAATTGCCTATTGCTGGAATTCTCCAACCAATCCCAGATCCTAATTCTCCTACAATTCAGCATATATGTCAGACGTATAATATTTCAGTTTCCTTTAAACAACGCTCTCGAATGTATGGTGCTACAGTCATTGTCAGAGGGTCACAAAATAACACTGGTGCTGTGAAGGTAATGTGTCATCTTGAGTAGTTTTCTGCATGTCATAAATATATTCATAATTTAGATACTTTAGAACTATAGTAACATTATATCCTGCCTCATCAGTACATATTACTATTGTATAATCACTTCTGAAGCCTGAGGGTTTGGGGTTTTAAACTTAACTGGTATAGATGAGGTGTAAAGATGCGTAGAAAATAGTTGTAAGTGTAAGGTTTAGCATTATTTGTGCTAAGCTTTTAATCTGTTTTTCATATCTTCCACACCTGTGTGGGTTTCCAGCAATTCTGGAATATGTGCTAATCTTACTATCTTTTAATTAAAACAAAGGAAAAACAAACAGCCCAAAAAACCCACCCACAAAAGAGCATCCACCTCACCCCCGAATTCTTCATCTTTGGTTTTCTCAATGTACACTCAAATATATAACCTTGAAAGCTGCCCTAACAGTCAATAAAACTGATCTTGCACAACCAGGACTGGGAGATGTGAATTTGACAGTCAAGTAAAAGAACAGCTATGAGCCTATGTATCTTAATAAAATAAAGGAGTTTCTTCGTTAACAACCGGCAGTGTGACAGACTGATATAATCTTGGATGGATGTCTCTCAAGCCAGTAAGAACATCTTAGTCCAAAGTTGAAAGACAAATTTTGGAATCATAGAATGCATTGGGCTGAAAAGGACCCCCAAAGGTCTTCTAGTCCAACCACCCTGCAGTGAGCAGGGACATCTTAAGCTGGATCAGATTGCCCAGAGCCCCATCAAGCCTGGTCTTGAATGTCTCCAGGGATGTGGCCTCCACCACCTCTCTGGGCAAACTGTTCCAGTGCTTTACTACTCTTTTGGTAAAGAACTCCTTCCTAATATCCAATCTAAATCTACCAGTTTCTAGTTTAAAACCATTGCAAAATTTTGCAAGTATACCTAACCAAACAAATATCTATCAACTTTTATTGCTACATGTGGGCACAGAAGGTCTGTTGGGACCAAACTGTTCAACATCTACCTTTTACAATGGCAATTAAATACTGCATTTGATCATAAAATGGTAATAGTAGGTAGAGTTTAGTCCATCTGTTACCTCTAACAAATCAATCAGCTTTTTAAACAAAACAGAATTTTTTTGTCTCAAATGTGGAATGCATGACAAGTAAGAGAACAGTCCGAGATGTTGTTTTGGATGCCTGGGAGCACTGTTTCACCGTTTTCTTGCATTTCCCCCACAGGAAGGAACAGCCATGCTTTTGGAACATCTAGCTGGGACCCTGGCCTCTGCAATCCCTGTGAGCACACAACTAGACATTGCAGCGCAGCATCATCTCTTTATGATGGGTCGAAATGGCAGTAATATCAAACATATCATGCAGAGGACTGGTGCTCAGATCCACTTCCCTGACCCTAGTAACCCACAAAAGAAATCTACTGTCTACCTCCAGGGCACAATTGAGTCTGTCTGTCTTGCCAGGCAATATCTCATGGTAAATACTTTCAGTGAAACTTGCTTGAAAAAAATGCCAGATCATAGAAAATATGCTCATTCTGATATGCTCATGTATTTATGGGTCAAATGTAAGCTACCGTGAGAGAGGAAGGATTACTACTCGCGTTGTAAAAAGCTGATTCAGCTCAGTGCTCTATTGTTGTCGGTGTTTTGTGAGTGCTTGTAGTTATCTAAAGTATTTGTAATCTCTGGTATCATGAGTTGAAAAATTACCTTGGTAATGTAAATGGAACATAAGCAATTTAAGTTTATGATAACAATATACTTCTAAGTAGAAGGCAGATTTTTGGAGGATTTTGTTGTTGGTGGGTGGTGGGTTGTTTGTTTTGTTTTGCCAGCTTGCCTTTTGCATGTTTGTCAGGTAAGTAGGTTTTGTTTTGGGAGGAACTGGCAAGAATTTCTTAGTTCCTGTGCAGGCAAGTTTTCAAGGAAGCTTGGGAACCATAGGAAATAACTACTCATTCTGCAGTCTTGCAGTCTTTCTACTATCATAGCCTCAGTACTGTAAGACCTTTTATGAAAATAGCTCTGGTGATGAATGGTATTATTTGTACAGATTTTTGTTATATTGATCTTTAAGCTTCAGAGGAGTCTTTAGGCATTGTTGTAGTACTAATGTTTGTACACAGATTTTTACATATGTGGAGATCTACAGACAACACATGGGAGGATTTGACTCTAATCCAGTTTACAGCTGGTATTAGGATAAACTATGATACTATTAAATTCCAGAAGTCCACATATCCACATTGCACCGTGCCTTGCTGTATAGTGGAAAACACAAAACGTGGTGCCTTTCTGTTTGTATGGTTATACTAATGATTATTGTATCCTAGGATATTATTGTCTGTAAATAGAGATAGCCTTTTTCCTTGGTGAGGTTTAAGTAGTACTTTTCTGGAGGTTCAGGAAGTAGAAGGAAATGTGAACAAGCTATGATATGAACGTCAAAGTACACCTTTACTCTAGAAACAGAATTATGCAAGGGCCATATTTTTGAACTATTGAAGGCTGATTTAATTCCAAACACATCAGTACAACTTAGTATCCCACATAACATCTGTTGTATTGCCCTTTAAGAACGGTACTGACTGGGAGACTTGGTTTGTTTCTACTCAAAGGCATTAGATGTCCTGAAACAGTTATTTCCAATTTTATGGACAAAACAAGTATTAAAACTGAATTTTGGAAGGAAGGAATGTATCTTTTTAAACAATAAAAAACTTGAAAAGCTGAGAGAAGTAACTAACCAGATAAAAACTTACTTCTGATTCCTACCTTAGTAAACCCAGTATTTTTCAGCTTCAGATAAAAACGCTTAAATACACTAGCCATGCCGATTAACCTGCATAGATAGCTGCAGTCATTCTCAGCTTCTCGTGAAGGAAATTTCACTTGATTTCCGCCCCCCTCCCTTGGGCATTAGTCAGTGGGATGAGACTTCTGTGCTGTGGAGCAATTTCCTGCAAGGTGTTACTGTGTGATGGCCTTCTTGCCATGGTCACTATTGTTACTACCTCCTGCCAGCTCCTCTGATCCAGTCAGAATAATACCTGATGCTGTTTCACAGCTAGGCAGGACTAGTGTCCTGTGGAATTTGGGAGGAGATTTAAAAACAGTTACTTGATCTCTGCAGAGCTCCTAGAAATAACTATCTAGAAGCATCTGAATGTCAATACCAAGAAAAGAAATACCGTAATATTTTTCTGAACAACTAAATTGTTGTGATTTGTAATTCTTGTAAGATAATTGAGGCAGAGTTTACAATATCAACAGCAAATGCAATGCAGTGCATAGATACTTTAAGTAGGACACATGTAATTTCTTGGTGCTCTTTAAAAATTGCTTAGCAGTATGTCTAAATTGAAACTTTAATAAATCAACTAGTAACTGATTTCAGTGAGAAGGCTATGAATTCGATGGTGTGTAACTGAACATCCCTTATCTCTGACAAGTGTTGCAAGTCGCAGCTTCTAATCATCAGCATATTGCTTGCAGGAATATATTCCATGTGGTGGTTAAGACAGTAATCAGTAGTGATGAGGGCAAATTGTAAAAGGAAGAAAGAATACAGTGATTTAAATTACTTACCTAAGCAAGAGGGGTTTGGAGTCTTGTTTAAAATGTTATTGCTCTATACCTTCCCCTCAGCCCCAACCCCTTTTGATTTCAGTGGTATTTTGATAGTCACTAAAAATGCTGAGAGTTACTTTTTGTTAGTTTTGCTTATAGTAATGAGGTCTGTACTGTGTTTAATTAAGAAGACATTGATATCTTAGTCTTGTTCACTCATTTCCTGTCAAGGAACATTATTTGGTCCTGTTCCTGTCATCATGTTCATGTACATGCTCTAAACATACAATAACAGAACAGTATTGTTAAAAAAGGGCCTTTTAATATGCTTATAAAACCTGGCGTTTCAACTTCAAAGTTTCTGGTTTTCCTGTTTCTCTTGTTAACCTGTAGCTGCATTTTCATTCAGCAGGCTTTTGGGAGACCTTCTGATATTACTTCCCTTTTTTTTACAAAAAAAATTTGAAAATCCAAGTATGAAATGCTCTCAGCAGTTCTGTTACCATAAAATCCTTGATTATTGATTTCAGTGGTCTTTTAAATAGACTTTATTCATAATTGTTTTTTTCAGACAAGTTCACTTTGTGGAGTTAAGCTGTTCGTTAGTATTCCTAAATTCAAAATATTTGAGATGCCTTGCTTTAATTTTCCTTAAGCTAAAATAACTTTATTTAGGTAATAATTTAGTTTTGTACTTTAGGTTTGTAAAATAACTTTAATTTAGGTACCGTGTAGTATAGGTGGTTGAGAAGTTCCATTTAAATATAAATACACCAATTTGCTGCTTTTCATTCTGAACCGAAAGCAGGAAACTGGTTAAATAAGACCACTTTCTTGAACGTATCTTACTGTGGCATTGTTCCTGATACATGTGATACTATGTTTACTTAATTGTGAACCTAAATTCACAAAAAGTAGGATTTGTTTTTCACTGACTTTGTACCTTCTATTTTTGTTATTTTGAGAAATATCAATCTAATAATTTCTAGATATCCTGTGACCATGCAATTTTTTGTTGTTTCTTGGGTTTGGGCTTTTTTTAGGGGCACTTTCTTTTTTTACTTTATGTCTTAGTATTTAAAGTGTCTCAGCGAGGTCATCCATATCACTGGAAAATACTTATCTAGCTGATCTGGGACAGGGGAAGAAAAAAGTAAAAGTTAAGACTTAGACAATGGTGACTTACAGAGGATTTTTTCAGCATTGTGTTTCCTTATCTCAAACATAGCTTAGTATGAGCCGCTTGAGTATGTGAGAGTCCTGCTATCAATTCCTGACAATATTTTTGTTCTGATTTAACTGGTAACGGTGGTTTCTGAATTTGAATCCTCCAGACACCTCTAAGTCTGCACAAATAGCTAATGTGGGGTGCATATGTGCTGATTAGAATGTCAAATATTCAACAAATCATTTCACCCTTGTATCACCAAACTGTTTGGAATCCCAGGGTAGAAATCTGTATTCTTGCATACAAGGAAATGGCTTTACTTAAAATTTCATACTTGTTATTTTTTCTGAACTTACTGTATCATGAAGTGCATGTGTTACAATCTCTGTGTTTCAGTTTATTGCTAACATTTTCATGGGAAAAGGGTATGTTAAAAGTTTTATGAATTCATGTGTCTTATCTTTTCAGGGTTGCCTTCCTCTTGTGCTCATGTTTGATATGAAGGAAGAAATTGAAGCAGAGCCACAGTTTATAACACAGCTAATGGAGCAGTTAGATGTCTTCATAAGCATTAAGCCAAAGCCAAAGCAACCAAGCAAGGTTGGTGAAAAGCTAATATATTCCTAGGCTTTCATGACAACTTTTCAGAGCTGATGAGTTGATGTGTCTGCTCCTCCTCCCTAACTTAATGGATCATCGCCTTGTAAAAGGCGTATATATTTTCTGCTTGAAATACCAATTTAAATGTTACAACAGCTCTCCTTTATAGTAATTTGACTTTCGTTGAATATTTGACAATACAGAGATTAGCTTTTGTATGGAATATACTGATAAAAGAAATAAGCTCTGAGGAGAGAAACTGTATGTGACTAGAACTACTCTTGATTTGTTTTTCAAGAAATTTGTCTGAAATTGCAGCTCCCCCACATAACTGCAGTGTTCATTAGCAATCAGAACTAAAAAGAAAACCCAAACAACAACAAAAACCAACAAACACCAACAAACAACTCAATGAGAAAAGTCTGACTGTGTTCTACTCAAGAAGTTGTAAAGAACCACAAGAAACAGAATTACAAAATACTTCTAATGGTAGATGTTCATTGTAAAATATTCAGGCGAGTATGGATAGGCAACTCTCACATTATCTGTGGTGTTGTTTATAATGCCATAACAGACAAAAATTTCAAAATGTTAAATGAGCACTCCATTCTGTCAATCAGTAAGCTTCTCTGTGTAAAGATATATAAAGTCAATACAAAGAAACATGTAGAGAATGTACAAGAAACAAATGATGGTTTTGTAACAATTTTTCAGGCATTTGTTACTTTGTTCTCAGAGAGCTGTGAATTTAATAGCTGAATTTAATATGCACAATGGTTTTGTCCACTTCGAGGTATAGACCTCAGGTGAAAGAGATAAGATTTTTAATTACCGATTCACTTCTCTACATCTTGGAGCACTTAAGACTTGGTATACCAAAAAGCAGCAAGGTACAGTAATAACTATTTTTCTTAGAAAGGTCTTTCATCATTCTTGTTGTCAAGTGCATACAAAAATCCCTAAACTTAATCATCAAGGCCGCTGAATTTAAGTAGTTGCTAATGGATGTTACTTCACACTGCTGTGTTACTGGTAGCCATGAAGGAGTTTTAAGAAGGGTTATGTGTGTTGCAGATCCGTGTCATGTAGTTCAGTTACTCACTGGTTTTCCTTTGTTGTT